CGGCATCCCAAATGGGTGCCGGTTCAAGTCCCGGCTGCCCCACTTCTGATTCAGCTCTCTCCTGTGGCCTAGGGAAGCAGTAGAAGATGGCCCAAGTCCTTGGGCCCCTGCACCTGCGTGGGAGACCCAAAAGAAGCTCCTGGCTCCTGGCTTCGGATCAGCGCAGCTCCAGCCATTGCAGCCATCAGGGGAGTGAACCAGTGGATGGAAGACCTCTCTCTCTGTCTCTATCTCTCTCTGTAACTCTTTCAAATAAATAAAATAAATCTTTTAAAAAAATAAATAAAATTACATTAACATATATTGGTTATTTACAGGAAAAGCAATAATGTGAGTTTTTTAAAATTTGTTTATTTACTTGAAAGGCAGAGTTACAGATAGGCAGAAGCAGAGAGAGAGAGAGGTCTTCCATCCGCTGGTTCATTCACTAGATGGCTGCAACAGCCAGAGCTGCACTGATTCGAAGCCAGGAGCCAGGAGCTTCTTCTGGGTCTCCCACATGGGTGCAGTGGTCCAAGGATTTGGGCCATCTTCTACTGCTTTCCCAGGCCATAGCAAAGAGCTGGATCAGAAATGGAGCAGGCAGGACTCAAACTGGCACCCATATGGGATGCCAGCACAGTAGGTAGAGGCTTTACCCACTATGCCACAGTGCTGGTCCCATGCAATAATGTTTTATGAGGTTTACAATACATGTAGAAATAAAAATTCTGACAATAATAAAGTTATAAATAGAAATATATTATTTTAAGGTTCCCAAATGATTCTAAACAATAAAAAAGCTAATTCAATCTAGACCACAGAGTTATGCAAGCATTTTCAAATCTCTAAAGTAAATACTAACTTAATTACAGAAAGGTATATCTAAAAATCTAAAAGAGAAGGGAAAAAATGGAGTAATAAAAAATATTGGATTAAGAAAGGTGGGGAGGGTCGGCGCTGTGGCATAGAGGGTAAAGCTGCCACCTGCAGTGCCAGCATCCCATGTGGGCACTGATTCAAGTCCCAGCTGCTCCACTTCCCATCCAGCTCTCTGCTATGACCTGGGAAAGCAACAGAAGATGGTCCAAGCCCTTGGGCCCCTGCACCCATGTGGGAGACCTGGAAGAAGCTCCTGACTCCCGGCTTTAGATTGGCACAGCTCCAGCCATTGCGGCCATCTGGGGAGTGAGCCAGCGGATGGAAGACCTCTCTCTCTCTCTGCCTCTGCCTCTGCCTCTCTGTAACTCTGCCTTTCAAATAAATAAATAAACCTTAAAAAAAAAAAAAAAAAAAAAGGAAAAGAAAAAAGAAGAGGGGGAGGGGCTGGCATTGTGGCACAGCAGGTTAAGCTACATACCGTACTGAGCACTGGCTGAGTCCCAGCTGTTTTGTTTTCAATCCAACTCCCTGCTAACTACCTGGGAAGGCATCAGAGGATGGCCCAAGTACTTCGATCCCTGTCATCCAAGAGAGAGGCTGGATTGAACTCCCAACTCCTTGCTTCGACCTGACCCAGCTCTAGCTGCTGCAACCATTTGGGGAGTGAACGAGGGGATAGAAGATCTTGCTCTCTCTCTTTCTGTCTCTCCCTCTCTCTCTCTGTCACTCTATCTTTCAAATAAATCAATAAATCTTGGGAAAAAAAGAACAAAGAAACAAAAGGCAGAACTACAGAAAACAAATAGCAAGATGGTAAGCTTAAACTTATCCATACCAATAATGAAATTAAATGCAGATGCAATTTGACAGAACTTGCCACACTGAATAGAAACACAAAACTTTACTAAATGTTACAACAAAGCACACCCCATAAATAAAAGGGTACCAATAATGAAACTAAAAGAATTGAACATATCCATCAAGCAACACTTGTCATCAGAAAGTTGTTATAGCTCTATTTAAACTAGGCAAAGTAGACTTCAAGACAAATCCTATACATATGAGGGTATTCAAAAAGTTCATAGAAATGCAAAGTATGAGAAAACTATGTATGGATTTCAAAACCCTTTTGCACTAAAAATTATCTTAAATTCCATTTTGCTGTGAACTTTTCAAAGCATGTTTTATAAAGACAAATATTTCATCATGATGGAAGTGTTGTTTATCAGGAGACATTAACAATACAAAATGTATGTTTCTAATAGCATATAGGAAGAAAAATTTGTAGATATTAAGAGAAACAGATACACACTCATAGAGGTTTTTTTTGTTTCTTTTTTTTTTTTTTTTTTTTTGACAGGCAGAGTTAGACAGTGAAAGAGAGAGAGACAGAGAGAAAGGTCTTCCTTTTTCCATTGGTTCACCCCCCAAGTGGCCACTACGGTTGGTGTGTTGCGGCCTGCGTGCCATGCCGATCTAAAGCCAGGAGCCAGGTGCTTCCTCCTGGTCTCCCATACGGGTGCAGGGCCCAAGCACCTGGGCCATCCTCCACTGCACTCCCGGGCCACAGCAGAGAGCTAGACTGGAAGAGGAGCAACCGGGACAGAATCCGGCACCCCAAATGGGACTAGAACCCGGGGTGCCGGCGCCCCAGGCGGAGGATTAGCCTACTGAGCCACGGCGCCAGCCACTCATAGAGATTTTTAATATACCTCTCTCAGTAACTGACACTATCTCTAGATAGACACTCTCTTCTCAACAACAACAACAACAAAAACAGAAATTTGAGAAACACTATCAACCAACTTGACTTACCTGAAATTTATAGATTACACTCAATTACAGAACACAGATTCTTTTTTAAGTGTCTACAGAACATTTATCTAAATACTAAGTTGAAAAATAAGTCTCAAGAAATTCAAAGGACTGCATGGTGAGTATGCCCTCTGACTACAGCTACAGTGGAAATAAATGAGGAAGTTAACAGGCAACTAGAAAATTCCCTCAATATTTGGAAATTAGGCCATGTACTTTGCTATTTTTAATTTTATTTATTTATTATTTGAGAGACACAGAGAGAAAGACAGACAGAGCTCACATCTGCTGGGTTCATTCTCCAAATACCTGCAATGGCTGAGGCTGAGCCAGGCCAAAGCTGAGAGCTGGGAGTCAGAAACTCAATCCAGGTTTCCCATGCGGATGGTTGAAATCCATTTGCTTGAGCCATCAACTGCTGCCTCCCAGTGAACACATTAGCAAGAAGCCAGAAATGGGAGCAGAGCCGGGACTCAAATCCAGGCACTATGATGCAGGAAGCAGGTGTCTCAACCAGCGTCTTAATTGCTAGGCCAAACACATGCCCCTGCCACACACTTTTAAATTACTTATGGGTCAAAGAATAAATCACAGTAGGAAATTAGAAATATTTCCTAGTGAACAATAATAAAAGCAATACATATTAAATTTGAGAGATACAACTTAGAAATAAACTTATAGATTGAGTGCTTATACTTGAAAAGAAGCCTTAAAATCTGTAATTTCAGCTTCTATCTTAAGAATATGGGGTGCATACAGGAGCAAATCAAACCCAAATAAGTAGAGAAAGGAAATAATGAAGGTCACAGCATAAGAGGTAATTTGGGAAGTAAACCAGAGGATGGAAGATCTTGCTCTCTCTCTCTTGCTGTAACTCAGCCTTTCAAATAAATAAATATAATCTTCTTTAAAAACCTTTTTTTTAAATCTTTTTTTAAAAAAAGATTATATTGTGGCCGGCACTATGGCTCAGCAGGTTAACGCCCTGGCCTGAAGCGCCAGCATCCCATATGGGCACCAGTTCGAGACCCGGCTGCTCCTCTTCCAATCCAGCTCTCTGCTATGGCCTGGGAAAGCAGTAGAAGATGGCCCAAGTGCTTGGGCCCCTGCACCCGCATGAGAGACCCAGAAGAAGCTCCTGGCTCCAGGCTTCGGATCAGCTCAGCCGTTGTGGCCATTTGGGGAGTAAACCAGCGGATGAAAGACCTCTCTGTCTCTGTTGCTACCTTTCTCTGTAACTCTGCCTGTCAAATAAATAAAATAAATCTAAAAAATTAAAAATTAAAAGATTATATTTATTTGTTTGTTTATTTGAAAGTCAGAGCCACACAGAGAGAGGAGAGACACAGAGAGAGTCTTCCATCCGTTGGTTCACTCCCCAATTGGCCGCCACGGCCGGAGCTGCACAGATCGGAAGTCAGGAGCCAGGAGCTTCTTCCGGGTCTCCCACATGGGTGCAGGGGCCCAAGCACTTGGTCCATCTTCTACTGCATTCCCAAGCCATAGCAGAGAGCTGGACCGGAAGCAGAGCAGCCAGGTTTCAAACCGGCGCCCACAAGGGATGCTGGTGCTTCAGGCCAGGCGTTAACCCACTGCACCACAGCACCGGTCCCATAAATATAATCTTAAAAACAATAAACTGACCCAATACCTGACACAAAGTAGACTTATAGTAGATCTTTGCTGCCTTTCCCTTTTGCATTCTTTAGGGTATATGTTTTGCCCGCTACTTAAGAGAGACTCAGAACACTGGCACAGACTGAACAGTCGACAGTGCAGGCTGCTAAGGTGGCTACAGTGCGATTGAAGTCCTAGTCTCTATCTGTTCCTGCCAAATAGTCCAGACATGGGAATGAAGCGCTCTTGGCCCCTCTGCACCAGGCAAGCTGCCACTAAATGAACAAATCAGTGCCATAGCAAACACAACTGCTCAGTCAAGGCTTGTTTGATTTTCTGATACATGAAACTGTGAAACATAGTAAAACAGTAGTTGTTTTAAGTCACTTGATTTTTTGTCAATGGTGTGAGGGTGACTTTAATTCTTGCCTGCAAATGGAGATGAGATAGAGCACCTTTCAGATCAAACAGGAGATGAAGAAATGATAACAGGAGGGAGAGAGAGAGAGACAGGTTCTGGGAAGTAACCAATTCAGTGTGGCTAGAGCATAAGGTGTGTATAGTGTATACTGGGAATTACAATGAACAGCACACTCTGTCTACACCAACGGGTGGTGAGGGGCAGGGACATGGGTTCTCCCTTATTCTCCATCAGCCACTCACCAGCTTCACAAAGAAAAGACAAATATAAGAAAAAGACAATGTACCTGCTAGAAACATAGCTTTGGACAAGCCCCCAATCCTCCTGGACTCCTTTCCAATCAGATCATTACTCCTTATCCCCTCCAGTGTGGAAATTTGAGAGCTTCTATTGCTGAAGACATTTGATGGGGGAGGGATTTATGTTTTCTGTAGGTTACCAGGAACTGTGAAGCAGAGAAACAACACAGGTTTGGGATATTAGCAAGCATGCTATTTCAGTGAAATGCATCACAGCTCTCAACCTTGCTTCTAGCACGTAAATTGCAGATTCATATGCATAATGCACTATGGGCTACCACGGTGATCAGCTGCATTTTCACATGGTTCTTGATGTCCTAGGGTGCTGGAAACCATAAATTGCAAAACATAAAATAGAATCGAACACCAGCTGGGTGTAGCTAGATGAGAACTCCTGGTGGGATACTTAGGAGGTTCCTGAGAGCAGTAATCAGGACAGGGAACGTGAATAAAGGTGAGTTTATTTGGGGGAAGGAGGGACATACATGCAGATAATTTGGGGCATGTGGAGTTGCCAAGCGTCTGGGGGACCCCCAAGCAATTACATCGACTATGCAGTTGGCGTGACCCAGGAAGTCGGTAGATGTAAATTTGGGTACCATCAGTTTACAGATGGAAAGGCATCAGCTCACTCGGGAAGCAGGGGAAGGTCAGCTGGGACTCAGGTCTGGAATGGGGAGGAAAGAGTAACAGTAAGAACGGGATTCCCTGGTACAGACCTTATACTGAACCAGGGATTTCGCTGTCTCCCTTCGAAGCCATTGTGTACCCATCTCATGAAAGCCTTGGTCTACTTTCTCCTCTGTAACACCAGACTTCTCATCTCACTAAACGCACCAGAAACTTTGCCTGTTCTGCCTTTATCCAACCATTAATTCAGGTAACAAATATTTACTGAGCCAAGTGCTCTGGGCCAGGTTCTGTGCAAGGCCCTGATGACACAGCACTGGGTCGCAGCAGTGTCCGAATCAACATTCCCACCTCAAATGTTTACAGTCCAGTGAAGGAGACAGACCCACACAAATAGTGAAGCAGTTATTTTGGGAAAGGGAGAAGCTGTTATTCAAAACAAGCTGGATAAGGGGATGTGGGGTAGTGGGTGGTACTATTTTGAACAGGGGAGTCAGGAAAACCATTTTTGGGGTGACATTCGAGCAGGGACTGGAATGAGGTACGGAAGTTCTGGAAGAAAGGGGACTACAACAGAGTGTGGGAGGGGCTAGAAGCCCAGGTAAGGAATCCGGTTTGCATTGCGTGACATGGAACCAGCTTGGTCTGAGCAGCTGGCTAAACGGTAGTTACCTCAGTGGGCACCGGTGGGGACCAAAGAGCAGGTTTAGAGGCGAAATAGGGAAATGGCTCTGGCCACACCAAGTTTGAGTTCTCAACTCGACGTCCAACTAAAGTTGAAGAGGCTGCTGTTTACGTGAACCAAGTTCACACAACCGACCCAGGCTGCAAGTAACTGGGGCAGCACTGACAGCCATGCACCTGGACCAGACCACCTGAAAGTGCTGGACAGAGCCGGACTCCTGAGTCCCAGCGCCAGGAGCAGCCTGGATGGGCCATCGACGCGGGAACCGGGCCACGAGGGCTCCACGAGGCTGCAGCTGCTCCAGCAGGGGAAAGACGGTGTCCTTAAAAGGATGGCCGGCCAGCAGCTCGCCAGGAGCGCGGAGGCGGGTGGGCAACTTTCCAAGCAGAGGCACACGCGTTTGCAGAGACACACAGGGCTCGTAAAAGGGGACACGGCGTCTGGAAATGGCGGAGCCAGCAGCTGGGGGCAGAGGGCCGCGGTGCGTTCCCACTCGGTCCGCAGCGTCCCGGTGTCACAGGCACTTCACCCTTCCCGCAAAGTCCTCGCAGGCGGCCGGCGCCGCGCCGCGCTACGGCAAGCAGGCCCAGCGGCGCCGCTCGCACCACTGAGGCCTCGGAAGACGGAGGAGCCGCCCGCAGCCCGCCGGCCGAGTCTCGCGAGAGCACGGCCTCGCCCGCCCAGCATGCCCCGCGCCGCCGCCGCTGTCGCCGCCGCCGCCGCCGCGCCGCGGCTTGAGGGCGGGAGGCTGGGGGAGGGTAGCGGAGCCGGCGCCGCCGCCATGTTGGGTCTGAGGCGGCTGCTGTAGGCGCCGACGGAGCGAGCGGGCGTGCGGCGCGGCGACAGCGGCGCGGGATCTGCCTCTCTGCGAGCGGCCCGGAGCGGCGGCGGCGGCGGCGCCATGAGCGGGGGCACCCCTTACATCGGCAGCAAGATCAGCCTCATCTCCAAAGCGGAGATCCGCTACGAGGGCATCCTCTACACCATCGACACCGAGAACTCCACGGTAGCCCTCGCCAAAGGTACGCCGGGGCGGGCCTCGGGGTGGGGGCGGGGGGCCGGGCCGGCCGGCGCTCGGCGCCGCGCTCGGCTCTCGGCCCGCGGCCTCGCTGCCTCCGCCGCCCCCCGGGGAGCCGCTCCCTCCGCGGGCCGGGCCGCGGCCTCCCCGGGGGCTCCTGGGCTCCCACCCGGGAGCTCCGCGCCTTCAATCCGGGAACTGCGGGGCCGAGTGCGCGGCGGGCGGGGCGGCCCTCAGGTCCAAGAACACCGAGAGAGGTGTCTTCCAACTCGGAAATTCGGTAGTTCTGTCGTCCTGCCACAAAACAAAAGCCGGAGTATGCAAAGAATTTTTCCGCCCAGCCCGAGTGGGGTGCCGATGGCTCAGCGCCCGTTTTCTCAGACTCGTTCGTTTCAGTTCGTGGCGATATTCCTCAGGTGAACTCGGAAGTAACGTGCCGAAACTTTGGGCTTGCTCTGCGACGCAAATGGTTTCCCAGTGCCGCTGGGACGGTGGGGCAGATCCCACCCCGCTTGTCCGCGCCGTGGCGTTTACCTGTTAAACCGGAATGCTTCTCGAAGCCTGTTGTGCAAGCGGGGTACACGTTAACAACGCTTGCTGCCCTGTTTCTGGAAGCCTGGCCGGGAGGAGAATTCGGGTCTGAGGCAGGCAGATCGGGTGCTCGCGGGGAAAGCGTCCCGGCCCAGAGTGTGTAGCTTCGCTGCAGCCTTGTGTGGGTTTGATTTCCGTTCGTACGTGCTGGGTCTGTGCCCTGCCAGGAAACCAGAGAGAAAATAAACTAGCTCCTGCTCTTCAAAGAACTCTCACCGCAGTCGGGAACACTTCGAAGGGGGGCGCACGCTAACCCAGGTGTTTTTCCCAGCACATCTGGTAGAGTTAGGGTCGGAGGCCTGGGGCTGGGAAGCACATTTTCTAAATCTGTAAATTGTAGTTTTAAGTTAATTGCTGAGAGAGTCGTATTGCAGTATCAAGTGTTCCACACGTTTTTGTGGATGCTGTGGTAGATCCTTGTACTAGAACTTGCCTTTGGATAGATCTACCTGGATGGGGCAGCTTTTCCTGTTTACAGAACTGTGTTCCGTAGAAGAGGAGTATGAGACGTTCCACAGTTGGGTTGTGGTGATAGTTGCACAACTCTCAATTTACTAAAATCTGAAAATTGTATACTTTAAAAAGTTAGTAGGTCTGTATATTTTGTTTGTTTGAGAGGAATCTGCTGGTTCATTCCCCAAATTCCCAAAACAGCTGGGGCTCAACCAAGCTAAAAACCAGGAGCCAGGAACTCAGTCCAGGTCTCCAGGGGCCCGACTACTTGAACTCATTCAGCCTCCCAGGGTCTGCTAGCGGGATGCTGGAGTCTGGAGCCTGGAGCTTGGAGCTTGGCATGGAGCTGAGGTAGACCAATGTCTGTTGTAGAGAGTGCTATGAAAACTGGAACACTCCCAACTGCCCTTTTTGCCATATGAAGCACTGTGTCCTGACACATGACCTCATTAAAACAACTTACATAGGTTATCTCTTCATTATTCTTTGAGAACTCCGTTGTACTTCAAAATGTATTTTCATATTTACTGATCGTTAAAGACATGATCGGTGCATGCATTGGGCACAGTAGTTCGGATGCTGCTTGGAACACCTGCATCCCATTATATCTGAGTGCCTGTATTTGAGTCCTGACTGCACTTATAATCCAACTTCAGCTATTGGAGCACCCTGGGAGGCAGCAGGACCTAGCTGAAGTGGTTGGGTCCCTGCCACCCAAATGGGAGAACTAGATTGAGTTACCAACTCCTGACTTCAGCCTGGCCCAGCTCTGGCTTCATGGGCATTTAGAGAATGAGTCAACAGATGAAAGATCTGTCTCTCTGCCTTTCAAATACATTAAAAATTTTTTAAAATTAGACTCTATTAATTATGCTTCCTAAATAACTTAGCTATTGTTTGGTCTTATTTCATGTCCTTTTTTTATAGATGGATAGCTGTACAGCATTTCAGTTTTTGTGGCTTTGTGAAATTATGACAAGGACTCTAAAGTTCTTGCTAAAAGCCACATACAGTTGAGAGCATATTTCTCATTTAGGTGGTTTAGTAACTTTAAAAAGCCTTGTTTAAACTGAATTTAAAGATGTCTTGCCACTTTTGTGACTTACCAGTGAGTTATCTGGGCTACTTTTATTCCTGACCAAAAAGTCCACATATTTTTAAGATTTCTAAAGTATTAATTTCAGTCTTTTTTTTTTTTTAGAAAAAAATTGTATATGTACCCTTCTTTGCAAAGATATAAAAAGTTTTTATTTTAATGATCCACATTTTAACTGCACATTTGGCTGCTTCTGGGGTCAATAAATATTTTATTAATCTGTAATGGTTAAATTCATGTGACATTGTTAAATTTATATGACATAAAATAGTGTACTTCTTGTATTATGACTTAATATAGAGAAATAAAAATTTTTAAATTTAATTTGTACTTAATGCCATTGATGTTTTAATTCCACATATATCAATACCCATACATGCTTTTTCTTTAGCAGTGACTTATAACCACAGGTTTTGGGAATCACGTTTGCAAAAACTTGAGTTACCAATCGATATACAATTCTGCATAGTATTATCTAATCTAAAACTTCTTTATAAGTATGCAGTCAATACTGGACACTTCAAAATTTTTTGAAGACTTGTGTAGTTATTTGAAAGGCAGAAATAGAAGAAACAGATCTTCCATCCACTGGCTCACTGCCCAAATGGCCGCAACAGCCAGTTTTGGGCCTGACTAAAGCCAGGAGTGTGGAACTCCATCACAGTCTCCCACGTGGTTGCAGGGGCCAAGAACTTGGTCCATGTTCTTCTTGCCATCCCAGGCGTGTTAATAGGGAACTGGATTGGAAATAGAGTGGCTGGATTATCAACCAGTGCCCATATGGGATGTTGGCCTGTTGCACCACAATGCTTGCCCCATTTATTTCAAATTTTAAAATTAGAAATGGTAAAGTTCAGTCTGATGTGGAGACCTTTTTACTTTTTTTTTTTTTTTTAATTGAGAGGCAGACAGATCAGCTCCCATCCTCTGATTTACTCCCCAAATGTCCCCTGTAACCTGGACTGAGTGGAAGTTGGAAAGACAGGTCTCTGTGGGTGGCAGGAGCTCAGTTACTTGAGCATAACTGCTGCTCCCATCGGTAGGAAGCTGGAGTCAAGAGCCCTAGCTAGGTATTAAACTCAGTCCGAAAGGGGCTGTGGGCATCCTAACCACTAGGCTAAACATCCACCCACTTGTTATCTTTTTAAACTGTGGATCAAGGCTTAATCTCTGAGCTCTCTGGGGATTCTCTTTAGTGTGTTTTTTTTTGTTTTTGTTTTTGTTTTTTTTTTGATTCCCCAGGATAGAGTTTTTTCCTTTTTTTATTGTGAAATAGAACCACATGTCCTGAACCAGTAGGTAAGACAAAACAAGTATTTTTAAGTCAAGATCCTTGTAACTAACCACCACCCAGGACAAAATGGCCATTTACCAGCATCCCAGGAACCTGCCACCACCTGTGTCTTCCAACATCATAACTACCACCATCTCAAGCTGGATATGAATATTCTGATATTTTTAACTTTACCACAAAAGTCGCCATCCCTAAATAATAGTTCTATCTATTTTTGAACTTTATATAAAAGATTACTTTTTATAAATTTTATTTTCGGCTTTTGCATATTTTTCCTTTATGAATAGAACACACGTTCATGCTCTGCAGTTTTTGATATTCTACAGTTGCCATTTAGATTGTTTATGGTTCTAGGCTGTTATGAACAGTGGTTTTATGAACATTTGTGTTGAAGTGCACTGATGCATGTTTATATTGTTTTCTTTATGGTATACTTAGAATTTGAATTGCAGGATCATAAAGAACGTATGTCTTTATCAACAGAGCAGATTGTTAGTTGTATCCTAGTTTTTGCTTTAATTATTAGCATATTAAAGAGTTCTGGTTGTTCCGTATTCCTCACCAACAGTACTTTGTATCATGTGTTTTGATTTTAACCAATCTGTGAGTATGTGATTATATATGGTTTTAATCTCTATTTCTCCTATTATTCATAAGGCTATATACTTTCATATTTTTTT